ATGCTTTGCAGATTCATCATTGTTCTTTATTGTTGCACAGTATTCCATTGTGTTTATGTACCATAGTTTATCCATTTATCTGTTGATGGGCACCTAGGTTGTTTCCATCTTTTTGCTATTGTGAACAATGCTGCAATGAACATGGGTGTGCATATGTCTATTCGTATGATGGCTCTTATTTCGCTAGGATATATTCCTAGGAGTGGGATTGCTGGGTCATATGGTATTTCTATTTCTAGCTTTCTAAGGAAGTGCCATATTGTTTTCCAAAATGTATGTACCATTTTGCATCCCAACCAGCAGTGCATAAGAGTTCCAATCTCCCCACAGCCTCTCCAGCATTTATTATTTTCTGGTTTTTCATTCATGCCAATAACGTCGGGGTGAGATGGTATCTCATTGTGGTTTTGATTTGCATTTCTCTAATGGCTAGTGATTACAAGCATCTCCTCATGTGTCTGTTAGCTGTTTGAATGTCTTCTTTGGCGAAGTGTCTGTTCATATCCTTTGTTCATTTTTTAATTGGATTATTTGTCTTTTTGTCGTAGAGTTGTTGGATTTTCCTGTAGATTTTAGTGATTAGATCTTTGTCGGATTTGTCATAGCCAAAACTTTTTTTCCCAGTCTATAGGTTCTCTTTCTACTCTTCTGGTGAAGTCTTCTGATGAGCATAAGTGTTTAATTTTTAGAAGATCCCACTTATCTTCTGGTGGTTGTGTATTGTTAGTTACGGTTTGTATCCTGTTAATGCTATGTATTACAGCCCCTAGCGCTGACCCTACTTTTTCTTCTATGATCTTTATAGTTTTTGTTTTTACATTTAGGTCTTTCATCCATTTTGAATTAGTTTTTGTGTATGGTGTGATGTATGGGCCCTGTTCCATTTTTTTTGCAGATGGACATCCAGTTCTGCCAGCACCATTTGTTAAAAAGACTGTCTTTTCCCCACTTGATGGACTTTGAGTCTTTCTTGAAGATCAGGTGACCGTGGGTGGATAGATTTACATCTGGATTCTCTATTCTGTATTTGTCATTGTACCAGTACCAGGCTGTTTTGACTACTGTAGTTATATAGTAAGTTCTGAGATCAGGTAGTGTGAGTCTTTCTACTTTATTCTTCTTCTTCAATAGTGCTTTACTTATCCGGGGATTTTTCCCCTTCCATATAAAATTAATGATTACTTTTTCCATCTCCTTAAAGAATTCTGTTGGTATTTGGATCGGGATTGCATTGTATTTGCAGATTGCTTTGGGTAGAATTGTCATTTTCACAATGTTGAGTCTACTTATCCATGAGCATGGTATGTTTTTCTATTTATGCAGGTCTCTTTTAGTTTCTTGCAGTAATGGTTTGTAGTTTCCTTTGTATAGGTCTTTTATGTTCCTGGTGATATTTATTCCTAAGTTTCTTCTTTTTTTAGGGGCTATTATAAATGGTATTTTTTCCTGATTTTCTTTTTGTTATTCTTTTTGTTAGTATATAGGAATCCAATTGATTTTTGTATGTTTATCCTGTATCCTGTGTATCCTGCTACTCTGCTGAATCTCTCTGTTAGTTCCAGTAGTTTTCTCGTGGAGTCTTTTGGGTTTTCCATGTATAGTATCATATCATTCATAAATAGGGACAATTTTCTTCTTCTTTACCAATTTGGATGGCCATTACTTCTTTCTCTTGTCTTACTGCTCTTGCTACAACTTCCAGCACAATGTTAAATAGGAGTAGTGATGAAGGGCATCCTTGTCCTGTTCCTGTTCTCGAGGGCAATGTTTTCAGCCTCTCTTCATTAAGAATGATGTTGGCTGCTGGTTTTGTACAGATGCCCTTTATTATATTGAGGAATTTCCCTTCTATACCTATTTTATTGAGAGTTTTTATCAGGAATGGTTGTTGGACTTTGTCGAATGCCTTTTCTGTGGCGACTGAGATGATCATGTGATTTGTTTCTTTTATTTATGTGGTGGATTACATTGGTTGATTTTCTAATGTTGAACTATCCTTGCATACCTGGTATGAATCCCACTTGGTTGTGGTGTATTATTTTTTTTGTATGATGCTGAATTCTACTGGCTAGAATTTTGTTGAGAATTTTTGCATCTATACTCATCAGAGATATTGGTCTGTAATTTTGTTTTTGTGGCATCTTTGCCTGGTTTTGGTATCACAGTTACGTTGGCTTCATAGAATGAATTTGGAAGTATCCCTTCCTTTTCTATCTTCTGAAATAGTTTGAGTAGTACTGGTGTAAGCTCTTTTCCGAATGTTTGGTAAAATTCTCCAATGAAGCCATCTGGGTCACGGCTTTTTTTTTTAGGAATTTTTTTTAGTACCTTTTCAGTCTCTTCTCTTGTTATGGGTCTGTTCAGATTTTAAACTTCAGTTTGTGTTAGTTTGGGTAGGTAGTGTGTTTCTAGAAATTTGTCCATTTCCTTTAGGTTTTCAAACTTGTTGGGGTATAGTTTTTCATAGTACTCTGTTATGATCCTTTTTATTTCATTTGGGTCTGTTGTAACATCCCCCATTTCATTTCTTATTTGGGTTATTTTCGTCATCTCCTGTTTTTCTTTTGCCAGCTTGGCCATTGTTTGTCAATTTTGTTGATCCTTTCAAAGAACCAACTTTTAATTTTGTTGATTCTTTCTATTGTTTTTGTATCCTCTATTTCATTTATTTCTGCTCTGATATTTATTATTTCCTTTCTCCTGGTGGCTGTGGGCTTCTTTTGCTGTTCTCATTTGTTCGAGTTGTGTAGCTAATGTTTTGATTTTGTCCCTTCCTTCTTTTTTTGATATGTGCATCTATCGCTCTAAATAGACCTCTGAGTGCTGCCTTGTCTGTGTAGGACTGGGTATTCTTAAGGGAGAAAAAAAGTGATTTAGATTTTTAATTTAACAAATAAAAAAATTTACCTTGTTCTTGCTACTGGTGAATTGAAATACTTTATATTTAATAAATCTACTTGAATATCAAAATCTCCCCTTTCTACTGGGTGGCTAAGCTAAGAAAACAATGAATGTGCTAATGTGAGACATAATTAGTCTAGGAAATGAGGGTATGAACAGTATGAATGAAGAGTGGTTTGGGATTTTGCTAAAGGTACTGCCCAGTTTTGACTATTTGCCTTTGGTTACTAATGAGTGCAGACTTTATGGAAACCACTCTTTGTATAATTTAGATCTTTGACATAAGCCAGAGTATAGCATACCATCTCTTCCAAAGCACTGTTTAGAGCCCTCAGAATTTCTATTATTTTTACCTGACTTTTCTACCTCCTCCCTACAGCCTGTCCATAGAAAAGGGAGATGTTTAAATGCCACATTTCTGTGGCACTTCTTCCACTGACCCTCCCATTTCTCCTCTGTACTATTCCCCACCACTAACCAAATAAAAATAGACAGAGGACAGGCAAACTTAAAGCAAACATTTGGTTTTCTCTACTGTGGAATTTTGTAATTTTGTCAAGCTATACGCAGGAGACAAACCACTTTTCTTAAGAGGTGGGTCAATGAATTCTTATTGATTTACCAGAATGAGCAAATCTAACTTTATAAATTCATCATATTACTAAAGATTTATTTGTTGGTAAAGTCAAACCTATGTAAATAATCACTATATAATAATAACAGATTGTTCAACATAATTTCATACAGATTTTCTAGCATTAATTGAAAACAGTATCAATCATATTTTTTCTCCAAATAAATGAACAGATTTTATTTAAATTTTTTTAAAAGTTACAGTTTCAGAAGATTAAGGGATGCAAGGATGAGCAAAGAAGCCAATAATCTTATAAGGCACAGATATGATAAAGAAAAGACTTAAGCAGAGTGTTATATTAAAATATAGAAAAAAAAACCACTATAAGTTAAAAAGAATCTAATGCCTATTAGGATGGCTTATTTTTCTGAAATATTTATTGTGATAAATTCTTTGTAAGCCCTGTTGTAGTTCGTGGGGATTGTTTCAGCTCAACCATTATGCTCCACCAGACAGTTTTTGAAGATGACCTTTGTGAACAAATTAGATGGCCTATACTAGGATTTACTTTAAATACATCTGCCTGAATATCGAGTTTAAAGAAATTAAAACTATTTGTTACTTCAGAGAACCTGATATCTGCTCCCTACAATCTCAAGATCAGCGAAATAAATGTTCCTGATCTGTGTATATACAGGACTCAGGCATTGCACTTTGGAAGATTTTTTTCCCTTCATGTGGAAACATTTAAAGGTCTTCTATAAAACATGTTCTTATTTAAAAATAAAGAATATAGAGAAATTCTCATTATATATATATTTATATTTTCTATCTTTTTATGAACCTACCCAGCAGCTCCATGTGAGAAAGACTTGATGACTTGCTCCTGTAAAGATTACAGCCTAGAAAACACATGGGGTCACTACGAGTCAGAATAGACTCTACAACACCCAACATTTTTGTACTGCATTTCTTTAATAAAGTGTCTATTCTAAATAGTCCATAGTAAGAAATTACAATGTATTTTCTGGGTTCCATTTCTTTTGTAGAAAATTTTTTCAGTGAATCTCAAAATAAAGGGTGAATAAACTTTATTAAGTAAAAAATATGTGTGCTGTCAAATTTCTCTTGCTGAACATCTTTAGCCCTTCCTAATGACCATGAAGATGAAGTACGCTTATATATATTTATGAAACAAAGGTCCTTAAAACACAATGCAAACAAGGCTCACATATGAACTGCACAATAAGGACTCAATAAAGATTTAATACACATCCAACAATCTAATGCAACCATGAAATGCTTTCTTAAAATAATTATAAAAGATTCATAACCTGTAAAAAGCCCATGGAACAAATTTAGTAGCAATGGAATAACTATAACAAGAGAGACAATAATGAAAATAAAGACACATCTCCTTCTCTTTAAGCATCATTTCCAAAAGCTTTCCAACAAATGAGAAAAACCATATTGTCAAGGTTTATTTCTGTTATGTGAACACTCCAGATAAAAGTCCTTCACTTACCTGCTGCACTTCTACCCTCTGCTTCTGCTCTGTCCAGGTACCTTGCTGGTTTCCAGACTCACTGTGAACTTTACCAAGAGCTATGCAACTCCCATCTGACAGGCATTTTCATCAGGCAGTCTCCTCTACCTTCTGATTATTAATTCCAGACCTTCCTTGTTTAGGGGTCTACGGCACTAGGAAAAATATCTAGGTCCACTGCCTCAGCATCCTAGAAGGAAGGAAGGCAGTCATTGGGTCTTGCTCAGAAATAAAGAAAAAACAAACAAACAAACAAAAACTACTTCCTACTATAAATAAAAATGCAAAGCATCTTCCTGAGCACTCCAGGTATACAGAAAGGCTATTCAAGAAGTGCTACCCCCAAAGAGAAGCAGAGCTCTTTGGGATGAAAGCAGTTTTTAACAAGCTTTGAGAAAGACTGTTCTTTTAAAAGAGACTCATGACTGCAAAGCTGTTTGTTGAAGTGGTGGGGTGGGCCAGAGAAATGTCAGCATGACTGTCAGCCCTGATTACTGGCTTCTCTTTTCTGTCCTAGCCCTCTTCCTGTGTGGCTGTCTACATACATCATGTTACACACACACACACATAACATACAATGAAAACACGAAACATTTTCAGGACCAGCTTGGTCTGACTGTCAAGCTATAACAAAAATACTCAACCCAAAAACCAAACCCACTGCTGTCGAGTCAATTCCAACTCAACGACCCCATACAGTTTGCAAGGCTATAAATCTTTACGGAAGAAAAATGTCATATCTTTCTCCCATGAAGCTGCTGGTGGTTTCGACCTTTTGGTTAGCAGTCGAGCATTTTAACCACTGCACCACTAGGGGTCCTTATAACAAAAACAGAGAATAAGAATTTAGGAGGCATCTCCTATGATGCCAACTTCTATAAATTACTGATTGTTGTTGTTTAGTCCTGTTCTGTTAGTTGAGTAGAAAAGAAATGCACAGTAGATTTCTCCTCAAATGGTGTATAACTAATGGACCTCATTGCCATTTTCTCCTCTATTGTGAGGTCTGTTTCATGTAATAATTTTTACCGTGGAGAGAGAAAACAGAGAAGGAATATGTCCATGCAAATATTGAACCACCTATACTTTGCACATGTTATCAGGAGGGATCAGTCCCTCGGGAAGGACATCATGCTTGGTAAAGTAGAGGGTCAGCAAAAAAGAGGAAGACCCTCAATGAGATGGACTGAGACAGTGGCTGCAACAACGGGCTCAAGCATAACAATGATTACGAGGATGGTGCAGGACCAGGCAGTGTTTCATTCTGCTGTACACAGGGTTGCTATGAGTTGGAACCAACTCAATGGCACCTAACAAAAACTCCATTATCTGGTAGGTATTCCCTCTAACAACGAAGTTCTCTTCTTGCCTCAGCTGTGAGAAAATGCAAAAAGAAATTCTCTGTCATCTCAAGTTTCTATCTCATCTGGTTGGAAAGGGGGTATTTTCTATCGATTCCCCTCCATTCTATTACATTATTATATTTTTATTGTCTTGATTTTTGTTGCATTTGTTTGATAACTCAACTTAGAAGTAGGTATGGTATAAAGAAATAAATGTCAATAGAAAATACTTTTAAAACTATAAGAGGAAAAAAATGTATAAATCACAAATAAACTATACTACTATGGCATTATATCTCTCTGGCTAAATGTAAGAAACTCAGAGTCAAGAAGCAGCAAAGGGATTCTATATTTTCTGAGGGGAAAAAAAAGCACCAATTAAATGCAATGTAAGAATACGCACAATATAAAAGTGACAGGTGGAATGCATGTGTTACCACTTCTAGTACACTGGTATTTTATTTTGAAGTCAGGACTTTACTCAATGTTCTAAAAGTAAGGACTTATTGAGGTCATTTTTTTCTATTAAACAGCATTTGTTATTGTTGTTGTAAGGTGCTGTTGAGTCGGTTTTGACTCACAGTGATCCCAGGTGTAACAGAACAAAATGCTGTTCAGTCCTGCGCCATCCTTACAATAGTAGGTATATTTAAGCCCATTGTTGCAGTCACTGTGTCAATCCATCTGGTTGAGGGTCTTCCTCTTGTTAAATGACCCTCTATTCTACCAAGCGTGATGGGATTTGTCCCTCCTGATAACATGCCCAAAGTAAGCAAGACTGTTTTTTCATTCTTGCTTCTAAAAGGCATTCTGGCTTACTTCTTCCAAGACAGATTTGTTAGTTCTGCTGGCAGTTCATGGAATACTCCATACGCTTCGCCAACACCGTAATTCAAATGCATCACTTCTTCTTTGGCCTTCCTTTTTCATTGTCCAGCTTTTGCATACATATAAGGTGACTGACAATACCATGGCTTATGTCAGGCATACTTTAGTCATCAAAGTAACATCTTTGCTTTTTAAGGTTTCAAAGAGGTTTTTTGCACCAGGTTTGCCCAATGCAATACTTCATTTGATGTCTTGACTGCTGCTTCCATGGGCAAAGATCTTTGATCCAAGTAAAACGAAATCCTCGATAACTTCAATATTTTCTCGGCTTATCCGAATGCTGCTGCTTATAGCTCCAGTTGTGACGATTTTTGTTTTCTGTACGTTGAGGTGTAATCCATACTGAAGATTGTGGTCTTAGACATTCATCAGTAAGTGCTTCAAGTCCTTTTCACTTTCAGCAGGGAAGACTGTCATCTGCATATCTCAGGTTATTAATGAGTCTTCCTCCAATCCTGATGCCATATCCATCTTCATATAGTCCAGTTTCTCAGATTATTTGCTCAGCATATAGATTAAGTATGGTGAAATTATACATTCCTTGTGTACACCTTTTCCGATTTTCAACCATGCAGTTTCCCCTTGTTCTGTTCGAATGATTGCCTCTTGGTCTATGTACAGGTTCTGAATGAGCATACTTGAGTGTTCTGGAATTCCCATTCTTTGCAATGTTATCCATAATTTCTTATGATCTGCACAGTTGAATGACTTTGCACAGTTAGTAAAATCACAGGTAAACGTCTTTCTGGTATTCTCTGCTTTCAGCCAAGATACATCTGACGTCAGCAATGGTATCCCTCGTTCCACGTCCTCTTCTGAATCTAGTTTAAATTTCTGGCAGTTTCCTGTCGATGTACTGCTGCAACTGCTTTTGTATTATCTTCAGCAAAATCTTACTTGTTAATGATATTGTTTAATAATTTCCGCATTCTGTTGGAGCACTTTTCTTTGCAATGGTCATGATATGGATCTCTTCCAGTCAGTTTGCCAGGTAGCTGCCTTCCAAATTTCTTGGCCTAAATGAGTGAGTACTTCCAGCATTCCACCAATGTTTAGAAGCATCTTAATTGGCATTCAGTCAATTCCTAGAGGCTTGTTTTTTTCTAATATTTTCAGTGAAGCTTGGAATTTTTCCTTCAGTATCATCTGTTCTTGATCATATGCTACCTCCTGAAATGGTTGAACATTGACCAATTATTCTTGGTATGGTGACTGTGTGTAGTCTTTCCATCTTCTTTAGATATTTCCTGTGTCATTCAATTTTTTTGTCCATAGCATCCTTCAATATTTCAACTCAAGGCTTGGATTTTTTTATTCAGTTCTTTCACCTTGAGAAATGCCAAGCATGTTGTCTTAGTCATCTAGTGCTGCTATAAAAGAAATACCACAAGTAGATGGCTTTAACTTTCCTGTCTGTTTATTGACCTTTTGCTTTCTTCATGTATGATGTCCTTGCACAACTTGTCTGGTCTTTGGTCATTAGTGTTCAATGAGTCAAACCTATTCTTGAGATGGTCTCTAAATTCAAGTGGGACATACACAAGGTTGTACTTTGGCTCTCATGGACTTCTTTTAATTTTCTTCAGCTTCAGCTTGAACTTGTATAGTAGCAATTGGTAGTAGTCTGTTCCTCAGTCAGCCCCTGGCCTTGTTCTGACTGATGATATTGAACTTCTCTATGATCTCCATCCACAGATGTAGTCAATTTGACTCCTGCATATTATATCTGGTAAGGCCCGCATGCATAGTCATCATTTATATTGTTTGAAAAAAAGGTATTTATGTTGAATAAGTTATTGGTCTTGCAGATTCTATCATATGAACTCCAGTGTCATTTCTAGTACTAGGCCATATTTTCCAGCTATTGAGCCTTCTTCTTCGTTTCCAACTTTCACATTCCAATCACCAGTACTTATCAAAGCATCTTGATTGCATGTTTGATCAATTTCAGACTGAAGAAGTTGGTGAGAATCTTCAATTTTTTCATCTTTCAGTGGTTGGTGTGTAAATGTGAATAACAGTTGTATTAACTGGTATTCCTTGTAGGCATATGAATATTATCCTATCCCTGACAGCACTGTACTTCAGGGTAGATTTTGAAATGTTCCTTTTGATGATGAATGTGACACCCTTACTCTTCAATTTGCTGTTCCTGGCATAGTAGACCATATGACTGTCCGATTTAAAATGGCCAATACCAGTCTGTTTCAGCTCACTAGTGCCTAGGATATCGATCTTTAAGCTTTCCACTTTATTTTTGACAACTTCCAATTTTCCTTAATTAATACTTTGTACATGCCATGTTCCAGTTACTAATGGATGTTTGCAGTTGTTTCCTCTCATTTTGAGTTGTGCCATATCGGCAAATGAAGGTCTCAAAAGCTTGACTCCATCTACGTCATTAAAGTTGACTGCTTTGAGGAGGCAGCTCTTTTCCAGTCGTATTTTGAGTGCCTTCCAACCTAAGGGGCTCATCTTTTGAGACTATATCAGTCAATGTTTTCCACTGCTATTCATAAGGTTTTCCCTGGCTAATTTTTTCTTTTTCCCTTTTTGAAGCAGATCACCATATCCTTTTTCCTAGTCTGTCTCAGTTTGGAGACTCCACTGAATGTTGAAACACCATTTAGAAAGTTCCATGTAATAATAACCATAAGCACTAGCATTTATTTATTACTGCTCTATGCCAGGCACTATATATTTTTTGAATCATTAAAACAACTTTGCAAGGTATGTAACACTACTTTCATTGTACAGATATATAAACTGAGACTCAGAGAAGGTAAGTAGCTTGCTCAAAGCTATACATCTAATAAACAACATAGTAGCATTCAAACCAAGGTTTCTCTCTATTTGTAAGACAGTGAACCTTCCGTTTAGCCATGATGACTTCTCATTAGTCTAGATCAGTGTTATCAAATCAAATGCTTAGAAAGGCTAAGCAGGTAATAATCATGGT